GGGTGCCACATGTCTTCACATCCAAGAGCTAGCGCCGGGGCCGTGATCACACATACCAGCTCAAATGTAGAACCTGAGTGGGCCGAATATCCTGTGGGACAAGAAGATGCCATCTCTACGAGCCAACACCTGGGCAACCGTAATCCTCCACATTAGTTCAAGCGGAATGCCGGAGTATGCTGGATGCCTGCATTTGGGCACGAAGACTCCTACACGGGCCAACTTTCAGAACAGCTCAGACGGTACACCAAGAGTACATCACTACGAGCCAGCTCTGGGGCCTCCATGACCTCCCAGATTCGCTCACACGTGAGATCTTCCTGGGCTGCTCATCCAAGGTATAATTCGAACGCGTCATATCTACGAGCAAGCGCAAGGGTCGCCGACCCCCCAAATCAATTCAACGTCCAGAATCGAACAAGAAATCGTTCGTCATTTCTACGACCCAGCGCCAGAACAGCCGTGACCGCATAGATTAGATCAAACGTAGAAGCGGAGTGGGCTAAGAGCGCCCGAAAACTGCCCAAGAGGCGCCCAAGACGACCCAAGAGGCCCAAGAGGGCCCCAGAAGGGGCCCCAGAGAGGGAACACGAACCAACAATCCAAGCCTTCGGCCCCAAGGGCCCCCCAGGAGGCCCCAAGAGGTGCGCAAGAGACCCCACGAGGCCCCCAAGAGGCCGCCAGACGGTCCCCAAGAGGCCTCGAAAGTGCCTCCGACAAGCCCCCGAGAGGGCGCCCATAATATCCCAACGATGATCATCATCATCATCATCATCATCATCATCATCATCATCATCATCATCATCATCATCATCATCATCATCATCATCATCATCATCATCATCATCATCATCATCATCTTCATCACATCATCATCATCATCATCACCATCCCCACCATCACCAGCATCAGCACGAGCATCAATGTCATCACCAACACAAACAATATAACTATATGGCATATTACATTTATAGTGTCGAGTTATGATAAGACTAATGCTAATATTGGCCATGATATTGATAATAATCAATTGCCATCGTCACCACCATCATCCTCGTAATCTTCATTCTTATCGTCATCGTCATCATCATCACCACCACCATTCTAACCCTCACCATCAACGTCACCATCATTACCGTCATCATCGTCATCATAATCATTATCATTATCATTATCATTATCATTACTTGCATTGGTATTCTCATTCTTTGTATTCTTGTTATCAGATTATCACCAGCATCCTCGTCGTCATCATCTTCATCACCATCGTCGTCATCGTCATCACCACCACCAACACCAGCATCCTCATCAGCAGCATCCTCATCAGCAGCATCCTCATCAGCATGATCATCATGAAGATCAACATCAGTCTCAGCCTCAACCCCCGCCCCAGCCTCAGCCTCAGCCTCATCACCAAAAACATAACCATCATCACCATCGTCATCATCATCATCATCATCATCATCATCAGCATCATCATCATCAACATCATCAGCATCATCATCAGCATCATCATGATTATCGTCATCGTCATCGTCATCGTCACCATCATCATCAACATCATCATCTTCATCATCATCAGCACCAACATCAACATCAGCAGCATCAGCAGCGTCATCATCAGCATCGCCATCGTTATCATGATGTTCATCACTCGCAAGTGCGGCCTCTGGTTGGCTTAGGTATCCTAAGTGGGACAACGTGTCCTCATCTCTACGAGCCAGTGCCAGGGCAGCCGTGATCCCAGGAAAACGAGAGGGAGGCAGTGGGAGGGGAGCAAGGGGAGGAGCAGAGTGGCGTTCAGAGGGGGGAGCGGGGAGGGATGGAGGGAAGGGGGGAGGACGAGAAGGAGCAGGTTGGCCTTCGAAGGGAGGGGCAGGGAGCGAGGTTAAGAGGGGGGAGAAGGGGGGGGGCAAGCCAGGTGCGCTCGCGTCATATCTGACGTCCTACCCCGCCCTCCCATCCCTTACCCTGGCTTAGATCTCCTCTCTATTCGCACAGTCGGATGTCGCAGCGTGGCACAACATTGAATGGCATAGCATTCTGTTGATGATCAACGCGAAGCATGACATAGCATGGCGTGGCGACGCCCCAAAGTGAGGGGGGGCGTCTCCTGCCCAAAGAATCAACGGATCGACACCGAATGTGGAATCACTTCCGATATTTCTTTTTTTTTGCGGGGGGGGCATTTTTTGATTTTGGCGCTTATTTGAAAGGATCGAAAACCATGCCGTGGCATGGCGCTGGAAATAATGACGCCAACGCTGCAGCGGGAGTGCGATTCGGAACGAGCGGAAGCGCGGAAATGAGGCCAACGCTGCAGCGGGAGCACGATTCGGGTCGAGCGGAAGATCAAAAATGAGGCCAACACCTCAGCGGTAGCAACATGTTTGGAAAACACACAAGCGACAACCCAGTTTCCGGGAATTCGGTGTCTAAAAACAATACGCGGAGGGGGGCGGGATATCTTCCAGACGTCCTCAGGGGAGAGAGGAGACCAGTATTCATATGGTGTACTTGTAGAGTGATGGACAGAAGAAGGGCCCTCCTGCAGCAGGAAGGGGAATTGCTCTGCGAGCGCGCGTGGGGAAGCGCGCGCAGGGCACCTCGTCCCTTCCCTGCCCCCCTCCTCCTTCTTGAGCAGGGACCGACAATCCAGGCATTCCTATAGTCATACCACGAAATGTTCGTATAACCCAACAATGTTCTAAGAGCAAAAAACATGTTCTTAGAACATAATCCCGATGTGTTAAAACAAACCAATATCAACCAGACATGCTCCAAGAACATTTGCTTGGTAGGGCTACAGGCGAGCCAGGACGCTTCGCCACTGCTTGACCTTCTTGAGCAGGGCGAACTGGGACACCGGCGGCTCCAAAATCGGCCTCCGGGCCCCTCCAAGGGGGTCCAAGACGCACCAATAGTCTCCGAGCGGCGCCCGGCCGTGGCGACGCGGGGGGCTTCCCCCGAGGCCCACTACGGCTGTCCCGAGTGGCCCCTGCTCCCGCTGCCATAGAAGACACAGACAACCACATACAGTCAAGAACCCTAATAGGGACGCGCGGTAAGGACGCAAGACCCTTGGCAGCCGAAGTTGGGATTTTTGGGGCGGCGGGCGACGAAAACCCCAAGGACGCAAGGGTACCCTGACTCACCTCCGTCCTTACCAAGGAAGGACGGAGACGCAAGAGCAAGGAAGAGCAAGGACGCAAGGGTACCCTGAGCAACGTCGGGCGTCCTTATTCGGGTTTCGACTGTAGACACAAAATTTTGGCGCTCCGCGCAGATCCAAGAAATCCGCGCGGAGCGCCAAGAGCTTATGTGCAAAGCGCTGTTCCTTCTTCGATGCCAGGCGCCAGCCAATCGCCCGACTCGACGGCAGCCTTTTTGGGAGGACGCGCCCGACGGTGCTGCGCCTGCGCCGGGTGCCCGGTGGAGCGGCCGGCGCGGCGCCCTGGGCAAAGCTTCTGGAGGATGCCCTGTCGGTCGAGACGCCGATGGCCCCCTTTCCCCTCCGGCAGCTTGCGCGGCGCGCGGACAGTCAGCCGATGCCATTGCAACTCGCGGGTGGGGAGGCGGGCTTCTGGACGGAGGTCCAGTGGTGATCACCGGCGGCCCTGGGAGGACGCGAGGCATCCACGTGCAACGATCCTGGCCACACCAGTCCTGGGATGGCCTGGCCAGGAGAGCGCAGGCGCCGATCCCTCGCAATCGCTCGGACGTCCATTCCCTGTGTTTTTGTTAGATTTCGTGCGTGGTTCTTCGCCAAATGATCAAGGATGCTCCTCGATGGTCCTCGCCGAAGGAACACTGCACACGTCCGAGTGATGCCAAGATCCAGGAGCAAGGATCGGCCTGCCTGGGATCGGTGCAGGTGAATCGTCCGCTGTCTCAAACAAGCCTCTTTGAAGCCGCAACGCCGAAACTCACGACGCTCCACCTGTCCCATGCCGTCGGTGATTACTTACAGTGGGGGCCCGACCACAAGAAACCTTCCGCAAGAAACCCAACCCTGAGACCCCGGGGCGTCCACTGACTTTTGGCGTGGGAGCGTCGCGTTCTTTCCATGGCAAAACCATCGAAACCCCAGAAACCCAGGGCACCCTGGAGGCAGGCAGGGTGTTTCTTGGCATGGGCCCCCACTGCACGCTCACTTGCCGCACGCTCCTGCCACGGCGACGCGGGCCCCGGCTTCTGACACCGCGTTCCGGCTGCACGCAGAAGCGACCCTAGGCAAGAGGACCTCTGGCGCGCGGCTTTCGGGGCTTTCGCGGGGGAGGCCACATCGCCGCAGCCTGAGCGCGCCAGCCAGTGCTGGCGGGAGCCCTGTGGGCCCGCACCACAGGTCACTCTCGAAGGGGCCCTGGGACACACAAATACATAGACACAAACAAGAGGAATCCCATGTTCTCCAATCTGTTCTAGGTTTTTGTCTTCCCCCCCACTTCCCATATTTTCCCATATTTTCTGGGGAACCGACGATTCATTGTGTCTGTGTGATTTTTCCCCTCCTGAACTCTGGCCAAGGGCCACTCCTGCGCGAAGCCGAGCGTGGACCGTTGCAGCCTTGCACGCCCTCGGCCCCTGGAGCCCCCAGAATTCGGCGGCGAGCCCACAAGGAGGCGAGAGGGGGTGGGCCTTCTCAGAAGGCTCGGAAGTCCCCTGGCCTTCGGAGAACTTTTCGAAGCCTTCCCCCAAGGCACGGAACACCCCTCAGAAGGCCCGAGGCCTCCTGAGGCCTTCTGAGAGGCCCCGCCGCCTTCTGAGAAGGCCTTCTCCTCTTCACTTCCTCCCCCCTCGCTCGCCGCCGATGATTCAGCTCAACACGACCCCCCGCCGATGAGTCAGTTCGGCGTAGCCCCACGGCCCCACTGAAATTTCTGTTGGCCTTCAGCAAGAAGCAAAACCTGCAGAACAAATGGCATCAACTTTGTCGTGAATTCTCCTTAGGCAATAGGTACCGATACCGCTGCAGAATTTCGAGGAGAATCCAACGGAGGCGACGACGGCCTCCCAGGAGGCCCAAGGAGGGGAGAACGAAGGATGGGCAGCGGCATCAGAACGTCTTCCTCCTCCGAATTTCCCTTCTTCGGTCCAAGCGCTACGCCCGCTGCCAGAGATGTGTCGTCAAACGATGGCGAGCAAGCGCGCGGGGGGGCGGCTGGAGAAGTCCGCCGAGGTCAGGAGCTGCCGCAAGGGGTCGCCGCCGGCCTCCGGGGCGGGCCGGGGAGGCCTTGGGCAGGAGACCGCCAGGATGGAGGAGGGCTTCCGAAGGCATACAAAAATTGGAGGCCTCCTAGATGGGGTCCGAATAGATGGGGTCGGAGGATCGCGCTCGCATCGCCGATACATCGGCGATGCATTGGCGACGTCGGCGTGGAGAAAATCCAGCTCCACATCGAGCCGCATCGGCGATGCATTGGCGATGCGGCGCGATCCTCCGACCCCGTTCTCTCCGACCTCATCTAGGAGGCCTAGAACAAAAACATCGCACAGGGCCAGAGGGCTTCTGAGAAGTCCAGCCGCCTTCTGAGAAGGCCTCATCCTTATCACCTCGGCCGCACGCAAGAGTGAAGAGTGACCTTCAGTGCGCGGACCACAGGGGCGCAAGGTGGCCAACTCCAAGCGCGCAGGCAGCCACCATCGCATCGCACTCAGCGATCGGGGGACCCCGGTGAGCCCGCACCAAAGGTCACTCCAGCGAAGGGTCACTCGGGTCACTCTTACACACCGGTCGGAAGAAGTAGATAGACACATGCAGCAGGAAGGCGGATAAAGTAGATTGGGTTCGGGCCCGCCCCAAGAATCACAAGCAGCAGCCAAACCATACCGATTCCTGAAGTAGGACGGCGCTTGAATAAGATTGCGTTCTGGGAATCCCAAGACACCCAATTACTTTCAACGACCGATGGGTGCGTGCAGTCGACCACCTCCCCCCCTCTCGCTCGCCGCTGGAGGTCACCGGTCCCCAGGTTTTTCGGGGTCCTGGGGCTGCCCACGGGCCCCAGGATACAGAGCTGCGGAGCAGCTCGGGAGGAGGAGCTGGCCCCAGGGGGGCGCCCGAGGGCCGGGGACCCGTTTCCTGGAAGACCCGCTTGGCTTCATGAGCGGGGCCCAGGGGCACAAAACCAAGTTAATATACACAAGCCCTCGGATTCCCAAGATGTTCCGTATGTTCGGGATGCTCGTCTTTCCCTTTACCTGCCATGCTTTCCACCGTTTCCTGGGACAAATCGACGATGCTCTGTGTCTGTGTTTTCCTTTTCCTCCCGAGGATAGGCGGGGGACTCCTGAGAGTGGCGGCGTGGGGCGTGGCGAAACTCGCCTTAGACAATGTTTTTCGTTTCCGTTACGGTTCCGATGTCCCTGGTCTTGTCTTATGTTGCTCCCATCGTATTTAAGGACCACATCCCCCAACAAAAATTGAGCACCCGGAAAAGTGTCGAAATAGTGTCGAAACAATGTCGGGCGAGTGCCTCCCAGGGCCCGACACGTGAAAACCGAGTTTTGCAACTTTTTGCGGGCTCGAAATTCTTTCTGGTAGTCAAGGCTAAAGTAGGTTGGAATATCATAAGTCTTGTCTTCGTTCCGCCTTCGCCGCAACACGAAATCAAAACGAACATGGTCCACGAGATCGCCCGAACACCGCAGCGTTCGAGCCCTGGGGCGTGAGCCCTCTGGAAAGCCTCCCAAATAGGGCCGGAGCAAATGGGGTCGGAGGATCGCGCCGCATCGCCGAGACATCCGCAGCTTCGGCGATGCATCGGCGCCGTCCGCGCGGACAAAAGCGAGCCCCAAGAGGCCCCAAGGACGGCCCCACAGACTTCCAAGACGGCCCTAGAGCGCACCAAATGTGCCCCATGACGGCCCAGAGGAGCCCCCAAAGACGGCCTCCGAAGGCCAAGAGGCCCCTCAGAGGTCCCCAGGGGCCCCCCAGAGGCCCCCAAGGGGCCCTCAGGAGGCCCCAAGCGGCCTCCTTTTCTTCCTTCTCCTCCTCCTTTTCCTCCTTGTCCTCACTCTCATCCTCCTCTCCCTTCCTCCCACAAGTGTTTCCCCAACGGATTCCACAATGGCTATGCGAACACGTATTTAGCCCAATAGCTTGCAAGACGTCGGCCCAACGTGTGTCCACACATGCATTCCCAAACGTATAGGACGGTAATGGTTCGCCGTAGGAGTCTTCGGTACACACCGCGCTCTGCGTAACACTAGAAGACGTTGTGTGCGTGTGCTCTTCTTTGAGCCACGAGTGCCCACGAGATGCTGAGCGCCTGGTGTGTTGCTAGGGCACAGCCTGCGCTTCTGTGACTACCCTTGACGCGTCCCCCTTTCCCTCAATCAAGACCTTCTCTTCCATTTCCTCTTGGGCAAGCCATGGAGGCACACACGCCGGAGGCGTCAGCCTTCTCTCCGTGTCTCCTCCTCCTGAGGACTCCTCCTGCCCTCTCCTCCATCTTCGGGAGCGGCCAAGGAGGGGGGTGTCCAAGAGGGGGGGATGCAAATCATGACCGGCGGCATGTGCGCGGCCCAGCGGGGGGACCAGGGACGTAATAAAATAAGTAGAGGCGCCATGAGATCTGGGGAAATCTCATGGCCCCCGCCATGATATCCCCCCCCCCTAGTCATCACCCCCCTCTTTGCCGCCCCCGACATCTGCTTCCCGGCCGGCCTCCAGAAGGGGCGCCCTGGCGGCGTCGCTCTGCAGGGCCTGACAGTGGCCGACGAGGCGGCAGCCGTGGAAAAATCCGCCGACCCCCTGGGGTTTCCTCGGCGTGTGAACCTGGCCCGGTGGAGGGGGGTACTAGCCAACGGGGCCGGGGGGGGGTCGGGGGGGGGCCCAGGATGGCGCACGAGGGCCCCGAGAGGTCCCCAAGACGGCCCCAAGAAGCGCTCAGGACGGCCTCCGAGATCGCCTACCAAACGCGCCCACGACCGCCTCCGGGATCGCCTACTCGAAACGGCCCCGATCCTCTCCAACACGACTGCAGACCCTCTCCAACACGACTGAACGCATTCAGTACGGTCGGATCTAGGACAGAAGAACATCCTTCACACTGAAGAACGTTCGAGGGAATCCCCCCCCCCAGGATGCACAAGCACATCCTGCAGGCACGAAGAGCACTACGTAAGGTACCCTCTCCACACCGACTTCGATCTTCTACCTCGGGCCGACCGCAGGCCACGCGCGACGAAGCCGGCGCTCAGAGGCGCGCATGTCCTCCAGGTGCACTTCCCGCCGTTTCGTGCTCAGGACTGCCGCAAGCCTACAAGCGCATACGGTGGGGGCAGTGGATAAGGCATCCTCAGATACGGAATCCATGGTCTGGGAACTGGTGGAATTCCGACCGTGGGTCGCGGCCATTGGCATCGCCGCCGCCCTCATTAGATCAGGAAGCCTCCAGGGTCTGCAGCCTCCTGGGCACATCTCGGCGGTGGACGAACCTCCCTTTAGTAGACCTCCCCTTAGTGAAAACGACCTGGGACCGAAACCGACGGACCTGGACCCGCAAAAGTGACGGCCTCGACGCCCTCTTGTGAACCGAAAACGGCCAATTCCTTAATCGACGTGTCAGGGTAGAAGGTCTGTCCACCCCCGACACCCCTTAACGAACGCACCCACCGGACCTGCTTCGCACTTGCTGCCCTCGCTCGAACGTCCTGCGCTGCGGACGCGCCCTTTTTCTGTCGGGCTCCCCACGCGGTGCTTCATATGGGCTTCGGCCTCGGCGGCTATAGCACTTGCAGCACTCGCACCGCCCCAGGGCCCCATGGGGCAACCCGCGGAGCCCCAAGGACGGCCTCACACGAGAGAACCCAAAGGCCATCCCCAAAAAGCTACAGGCTGGCCCGGGAGCGCCCCGAGACGGTCCAAGAGGCCCCCAATCTGGCTCCCAGACTGCCTCAAGGACCCCCCCCCCCCAAGGGAGATAAGGTGTTACTGCGGCCCGTTGGTTGTTACTGCGGCCCGGTGGGTGTTAGTATGGCCAGGGGTCCTCCGGAGTGTATTAATTATCGAGTACGGTGAAGGGGGGGGGAGGGGGTCCAAAAAGGCTCCGCCCCCCCCCCTTTCTCCTGAGAGCCTCTCGGAAAAACCTCTGGTGCTCTTCGAAGAGCTTCTTGGAGCCGCCGAAGACCTTCTTGGAGCCGCCTAAGAGCCTCTTGGGCTCTCCGAAGAGCCTCTTGGGCTCTCAGAACTACTACTACTACTACTACTACTACTACTACTACTACTACTACTACTACTACTACTACTACTACTACTACTACTACTACTACTACTACTACTACTACTACTACTACTACTACTACTACTACTACTACTACTACTACTACTACTACTACTACTACGACTACGACTACTACGACTACTACGACTACGACTACTACTACTACTACTACTACTACTACTACTACTACTACTACTACTACTACTACTACTACTACTACTACTACTACTACTACTACTACTACTACTACTGACTACTACTACTACTACTACTACTACTACTACTACTACTACTACTACTACTACTACTACTACTACGACTACTACTACTACTACTACTACTACTACTACGACTACGACTACGACTACGACTACGACTACGACTACGACTACGACTACGACTACGACTACGACTACTACTACGACTACCACTACTACTACTACCACCACTACTACTACTGCTGCTACTACTACTACTACTAATACTACTACTACTACTACTACTACTACTACTACTACTACCACTACCACTACCACTACCACTACCACTACTACTGCTACTGCTACTGCTGCAACTACTACTACTACTACTACTACTACAGCTACAACAACAACTACTACTACTACTACTACTACTACTACTACTACTACTAGTACTGCTACTACTACTACTACTACTACTACTATTACTACTACTACTACTACTACTACTACTGCTACTACTACCACCACTACTACTACTACTACTACTACTCCTACTACTACTTCTCGTCGTCCCTAGCGCCCTACGGCTCGCACTCCCTAGCGCCAGTACTTCCTAGGGCTAGCACTCCCTAGCGCCAGTACTTCCTTGCACCCCCTCGGACTAGCACTCCCTAGGACTAGTATTCCCTAGGGCTGGTACTCCGTCGTGCGAGTACTCCCTAGGACGAGTACTCCCTTGGACGAGTACGCCCTAGGGGTAGTAATTCCTAGGACTGGTACTCCCTGGGGCTAGCACTCCCTGCTACTACTACTCCGTAGGACTAGTACTCCCTATGAATGATATTACCGAACACCAGCACTACAGCACCATAGTACTACCACACTACAGCACCACTACCACAGTACCAGCACCACAACACCACAACACTGCTACAACAACACCACAACACCGCTACCACAATACCACAACCACAACACCACAACACCGCTACCACAAGACCACTACCACAGCAGCACTGCCACTACGACAACACTACCACCTACTAACAACTCAACAACACTACCAACACCACACCGCTAACACAACACTACCAACACCACACCACTAACACAGCACACCACTACCAACACCACACCACTAACACAGCATACAGCACAACCCGCCACTACCAACACCACACCACTAACACAACACTACCAACACCACACCAATAACACAGCACAGCGACCACCACACCACTAACACAGCACTACTACCACGTTGGTTCCAGATGGGAGTTACTGTGGCCACTTTTGCCTGCGCGGGAGTGCATTCCTTTAAGGGTTGCGAATCTCTCCAGATCTAACATGAGATACCTTTACATATTACTTTTCATTGAGCGGCCTGCGCGGGCCACAGTAACTCCCATCCCGCCGCGCGACGGGCCACACTAACACCCAACGGGCCACACTAACACCCAACGGGCCACAGTAACAACCGGTCGCCCCCCAAGGAGCCCCCAGGTGAGCGTTTTCTTCTCTGGCGTGTCGACATTGGGCAGACGGGGAGTGGAAGGGGAGGGGGTCTGGCTCCAGACCTCTGCCTAGCGCGACTGCTTGCAACAATGCGTCCCACGGGGGAGACTCCACCCACTTGAAGCCGGTGCCAGGAGCAGCCAAGATCTACTCCACATGGGGGGGGGGAGGGAGCTCACGCGCCCGCGCCGATCGGGAGCACAACGAGCAAGGAAACGACCACAGGACGACTCGGGAACACACGGCAAAAGCTTGCCTGGCCGGGATGCCCCGCGAAGCGGCGTGCATCCCTCCTGGTCCAGCGACGGCGCCATCTTCGGGTTGCACGCCGCCCAGATCTCCTTGAGGGCCTTTCTGGGCAGCCCCGACCTGCCCAGAGGCTGGAAGAAGGAAAGCCGCTATGACCATACATAAATGTTCGGAGCTCCGCGCGGAGTTCTCGGATCGGCGCTGAACCTCCTCTTCCTCCTCCTCCTCCTTCGGGCGCGCGGAGCGAGCCAGGGTCAGGTCGGGCATGTCCTCCTGCGAGCGGACTTTGGAAGACGAGTCAACATACTCAACGAATAATCAGACATAGACAAGCAGGCACGAACATCGCAGAATAAGCGGACATAGAGAATAGACATAGATAAGCAGACAGATAATAATCAACGAATAATCAGACATAGAGTCAGCATACTCAACAGATAATCAAGCATAGACAGAGAGGCACGAACATCGTCCCAGAACTATCTCTTGACTGTTCTCGAAGATGCCTCCTGTAGAGGGGCACGCCCGACGTAACGCCATGGGGGCGGCGCCGGAGCGGCCGTCCAAGGGGGGTCCAGCGCCGCTCCGAAGAAAGCCGCGCGGAGATCCGAGGGTGTATGCCTACGGCGGTGTTCCTTCTCCCGGATAGCCCACCACGCTGCCTCCGGGGAGACGTAAGATTAGGTCGGGCCTGTCCCCCTACAGGAGGATTTTCGACGAAACATAAAACAGACCCCAAACATACACCAAAAAGGTCAAAAAATACTCCGAAAATAGTCCCCGGACTATTTTTGTATTCTTTTCTGACTATGTTTCGGGTATCTGTTATTTTTCGTCGAAAATCCCCCTGTAATTAGGGGGACAGGCCCGACTTAAACGTAAGACTCGGGTTCGGGGCACGGGGCCATGACGAGAACGAGGAGACCCAATTTGGAATTTGGCGCGAGCTCCCGCGGGAGACGTCCCACGAAACCCACAGACCGTTCTGAATCCATGGCGGGCTCGCCCGAGAGGCGACGGCAAGCCCGAGCTCCAGCGCGCTCGAGCCTTCCGTTTCCCCGATGCCTGGGTCCCCCCCGCCGCAGTCCACGAAGGCCCTCGCGTAGACCTCGCTCTCCTCCCGCGTCCAGCCGCTGCCGGCGGCGCCGGGCGGCGAGCCCGCCGCCGCGCCGAGCGCCGCGGCGGCGGCGGCGGCCGCGGGGGCGGCGGCCTCCTTCGCCCGCTGCCCCGCGCCCGCCAGGGCGGCCACGGCGGCGGCCCCCTTCTGCTGGGCCGCCGCGGCCGCGGCCGCGGCGTGCTGCTGCGAGGCCGCCGCCGCGGCGCCCGCGCCCGCCGAGGCGGCGGCCCCCTGCAGCTGCGCCGCCTGCTGCGCCGCGGCCGCCGCCGCGGCCTGCGCCCGCTGCTGCAGGAAGCCCGCCGCCGCGGCGGCGCCCTTCGGCTGCCCCGTGCCCGCGGCGGCCGCGGCCTCTGTCGCCGGAGTCCCGGGCGAGGCGCCGCGGGTCCTGCGCAGCGTCTCGTGGGTTCCGGGGAGCTCCTTGCGGGCCAGCTCCCCCGCAGCGCCGCCCGTCTGGTACGTGACCGTCACCATCTGCCCCGAGACCTTCTCGACGGTGCCGGGGCACCAAGCTTGCTTGGAGTTGCTGTACACCTCGACCGCGTCGCCCACCTGGAGCCCGTGCGAAGCATGGGCGGGATAGCCGCCAGGCGCGGAGGCTTGCGGCGAGGCGGGGCCGCCTGTCGGCGTCGCCTGCGCGCCGCCTCGTGTCCTGCGCAGCGTCTCGTGGGTCCCGGGGAGCTCCTTACGAGCCAGCTCTCCCGCAGCCCCACCCGGCGTCTGGTACGTGACCGTCACCATCTGCCCCGAGACCTTCTCGACGGTGCCGGGGCACCAAGCTTGCTTGGAGTTGCTGTACACCTCGACCGCGTCGCCCACCTGAAGCCCGTGCCCACCCTCGGGCTGGCCAGCCGGGAGCATCGGGAGCTGCTCCTCTGGCTCCTTCTCCTTGCCCCCGAACATGTTCTTGATGCCCCCCGCGGCCCCCTTCAGCTTGTCCTTGATGCCCCCCGTGGCCTCTGCGAAGGCAGACCTCCGCTTGGGCGACGTCGCCTCCTGGGCGGGCTCCTGGGCAGCCGCGGGGTCCGCCGCCTCCTGGGCGGGCTCCTGCGCGGGCGGCGTGCTGTCCACCGTCAAGAGGCCCGCCCGCAGCAGCGGGTTGACCGCGGCGCCGGCCGCCTTTCGGCGGCGAGCTAGGGCAGAAGTGAGGAGGAGCAGGCCTCCTCAGGAGGCGGCGGGGCTTCCCAGAAGCCCTCGCGCCTCACTTTGGAGTCCCGAAACGATGCGGCGACAGACCGTGCGGTGACCTCGAAATCCCCCAAGACCTCACCGCACGGTCCGTCACCGCACGGTCTCGGGACCCCGGAGGCCCCTGTCGCACGAGACGTCCTCGGAGAGGGTCTGGAGAGTCCCACAACCGTGCGGTGACCCCGAAGCCCCACCGACCCACCGCACGGTGCGGTCGCCACCCCGTTGAGGGCCCTCGCGCCTCACGAGACGTGGCCTGCGTCTCCGGGGGAGGCCCGGGCAACTTCCTGAGAGGGCCGGCGGGCCTCCGAGCCTTCCGACGAGGCCCGCCCTCTCGCGGACGCCCAGGTGGCCTCTGGGGCATGGCTCGGCTCTCTGGCGGCCGCTCTCGGCACGCTCCGGGCCCCCCCCCCCCGGAGCGCCTCCGGCGAGGAGCAGCTTCGGGACAAAGCAGCAAGCACCCCGAGGCTGGAAGACCGCCGAGCACAGCCGACACCGTCCGCAAGCTCCGGAGATCGGACCTCGAGCCCCTTCGCGCTCCTTCTCGCTCGCCGCCCCCCTGGCCATCGCTCGGGCGTCCGTTCCCTGTGCTTTCTTAGGTTTCATGCGTGTTTTTTAAGCCAAATGATCAAGGATGTTCCTCGATGGTCCTCGCCGAAGGAAAAAATGTGTTCCTTCGGCGAGGACCGAGAGATGCCAAGCCCTCGCTAGCCGCCGGGCCTTGGCTGCGCTGTTGGTCGGCACGGGGGCGGCCTCCTGGGCGGGGGCAGCCTCCAGGATCGGCGCCAGCGGCCCCGCGCCGCCCGCGGCGGGCGTCGGGGGCGGGAGGCCGAAGAGGCTCTGGCGCATGCTGCTCATCGACTCGGCCACCTCTGGAGCGGGGAGGAGGAGGGAGGAGGAGGAGGAGGAGGAGGAGGAGGAGGAGGAGGAGGAGGAGGAGGAGGAGGAGGAGGAGGAGGAGGAGGAGAGAGGAGGAGGAGGAGGAGGAGGAGGAGAGGAGGAGGAGGAGGAGGAGGAGGAGGAGGAGGAGGAGGAGGAGGAGGAGGAGGAGGAGGAGGAGGAATAGGAGGAGGAGGAGGAGGAGGAGGAGGAGGAGGAGGAGGAGGAGGAGGAGGAGGAGGAGGAGGAGGAGGAGAGGTGGGAGAGCAAGGCGGGGGCGACGAAGACAGAAGAGCAAACGATGAGTGCCCTGGCAGAATGTTCGGGGGGGCGCGCACGGTGATTCGCGATCCATGGGTCTGGCGCGCGGCCGCCAGATCCATGGATCGGGGGAGGTGCCCTCCCCCAACTTGCGGTAGGTGCCGCCTCGCTCGGCGGCGGAAATCAGCGATTTCCCGTGGAAGCGGGACCCGTCGCTAATCCACGCCCCCTAGGGGCCTGTCCCCAACTGGGAGTGTGTAGTGGTCGGCCTGCTGGGATACGACGGCCCCGTGGGGATGCGTCATTTCGTCGTCGTCGCCGCCGCCGCCGCCGCCGTCGCCGTCGCCGTCGCCGTCGCCGTCGCCGTCGCCGTCGCCTTCGCCGTCGCCGTCGCCGTCGCCGTCGCCGTCGCCGCCGCCGTCGCCGTCGCCGTCGCCATCGCCGTCGAAGTCGTCGTCGTCGTCGTCGTCGTCGTCGTCGTCGTCGTCGTCGTCGTCGTCGTCGTCCTCTGCGCTCGCAAGCGGACGTCCCGAACGAGACGGAACCACCTTCTTCGCCTGCGTGAGGCCCGCCGAGGGCTTCTTCTCGGCCGCCTGCAGCACGTCGGCCGGCACGGCGCTGCGGATCCTGGAGCTCTGCAGCGAGAAGGCGGCCTGCGCGTCGGGCGGCAGCTCCTGCTGCACGCGCGACAGAAAGTCCGAGGACGCGTCCAGCGCGGAGACCCAGCCTGGCGAGTGGAGGAGCAGGTTGAGCACCTCTGGAGGAACATCACACATTTGAGGTCGGGCATGTCCTCCCACGGGCGGATCTTGGAAGACAAATAGAAGCAAGTCAAACATAATCCAACAGTCAACAGCGCACGAAACATCGCCACCTGTTTTTTTATTTTTCTGGGGCACTCCTCTTGTGGAGGGACATGCCCGACTCGACGCAAGTTGCGCAATTTCGGAGGTCCGCGGATTTTCCGGATCTGCGCTGGGCTCCCCTCTCTGGCGCGCGGAGCGCGCTGGGGGGCGGCGGCAGAGACACCGCTGGGGGGGGGGTTCCAGCGCAGGCCCACCTCCGCGCGGAGCGCCGAACACCAAGGCTTACAGCAGGGGCCCGACCACAAGAAACCCTCTACAGGAAACCCAGCCCAGAGACCCCAGGACGTCCATGCATTTTTGGCGTGGGAGCGTCACGCCTTCCGTCGCAGAACCATCGAGACACATTCGAGAAACCCAGGGCACCCTGCAGGCGGGCAATGTGTTTCGTGGCATAGGCCCCAACTGTACAAGGCAATTTTTAATACATAGTTCTTTTGTTTGAAAAGGAACGGATTTTTATACATGGTTAATCTATGAATAATTGTATGCATGAACTCATCGTTGTTATAAATAACAAACCCTGCATGTTTAATACATGGTCCGCACGCGGAGCATGTATAAGACGGCACTGTGCGTTTTCTCTTCGAACCTCGCAGATCTGCTTCATGCGGATCCTGTGGTGCCGCTTCGTGAAGTCCACCAAGAAGTCGAGCACCACCGGCCCGTGCCCGGCCTCGGCCTCGTAGACCTCGGGCAGGTGCGCGGCGTGCAGGCAGCCGCGCCGCAGCTGGTTGAACGCCGACAGGCCGGGGTCGTCGGTCCTCTTCGGCACCTCGAGCGCCACGACCATGTCGATCCCCTTGCGGAGCTGGTCTCTGGCGGGCCCGGACTCGGCCGCACGAGCCTCTGGGGGGCTGCCAGAGGTGGTCCTGGCCCGAGGTGCCCCCAGCTGCTGGAGGCCACTTTTGAGCCTGATCCTCGTGTCTCGTGCTCTGGAGGCCACCTGGCCCCCCCCCCTGGAGGTACTCTGCCCCAGCGCCACGGAGCAGAAGTCGGCGGATAAGCGGCTCATGGAGCAAGAGGGCCCAGAGCCGCACAGGAGCTGAGGAGAAGAGGGGAGGACCACGAGGGAGAGGAGGGGAGGACGACAAGGAAGAGGAGGAGGAGGAGGCGGAGGCGGAGGAGGAGGAGGAGGAGGAGGAGGAGGAGGAGGAGGAGGAGGAGGAGAAGTAGGAGAAGGGGGGAGGGAGGAGGAGGGAGGGAGGGAGGAGGGGAGGAGGGGGAGGGGGAGGGGGAGGGGGAGGGGGAGGAGAGGAGGAGGAGGAGGAGGAGGAGGAGGAGGAGGAGGAGGAGGAGGAGGAGGAGGAGGAGGAGGAGGAGGACGACGACGACGAGGAGGGGAGGACGACGAGGCAGCGGAGGGGAGGACGACGAGGAAGAGAGAAACCATATAGCCAACGACACGAACTGGCCCTGAAAACGCGACGCCACCTGGCCTGCCAAAATGGTGCGACCCGCCCCCCCCGGGCCCGCTGGGCCTCGTCAGGGGTGCACCGAAGGCCACCTGCAAAGGAGAATCAGCTGCACGAACAGAAGCTTTCGGAGAACCGCTCGGAGCGCGCCAGGGGCGGCGCCGGAGGCGCCGCCAGGGGGGCCCAGCGCCGATCCAAGAACTCCGCGCAGAGTTCGAGGGTTTATGCTTATGATGTAGCTCTTTCTTCCTCGACCAATGGCGATTCTGGAGACGCCTTCATGCCAGGGCAGCACCCGAGCTCAGTGAAGGATTTCTTGGCCTTCAGCAGGAAAATATGCGTCATCAACTGTTTGAGCACTCAGTTTGCCCTTAACGAACTTTTGTGCCTTCAGGGGTACTTCGGGCAGCACCCGAGCCGAGCCTCTGCGGCCGCGGCGCCGCCGTCGCCCGCCGGGCTCTCCTGGTCCTCCTGCAGCAGGCCCTGCCTCAGCAAGTCAGCCTCGCGGAATCTGGCGATGCTCTGGTGGACGTTGACCTGCTGGGGCTCCTGCAGGATGCGGAGCGGGAGGAGGAGGAGGAGGAGGAGGAGGAGGAGGGAGGAGGGAGGAGGAGGAGAGGAGGAGGAGAGGAGGAGGGAGGAGAGGGAGGAGGGAGAGGAGGGAGGAGGAGGAGGAGGAGGAGGGAGGAGGAGAAGGAGGAGGAGGAGGAGGAGGAGGAGGAGGAGGAGGAGGAGGGCGCCGCCTCAGCAGAGCTGCCCCGACTGCGGGGAGTGGCGCGCAGCGCCGTAGCGCTCAACAGGCGACGTCGAGGAATCCACCTTCAAGTGCAGACCACTGCTCGGCAGAGAGGGGCAGACGAAACCAACTTCCATGCCCTGCGTCGAGATGAGGAGCATCGGCGGTGGACAGACCTCCCTTCCTTAGACCACCCTCTCGTGAAAACGGCCTAGGACCGACACCGACGGACCTGGACCCGCAAGGATGACGGCCGCGGCGCCTCCTCGCGAGCCGCAATCGGCCAATTTGCTAGTCGACGTTGTCCCTCTACGGGGTACGATTTTTTTTTTTTGGGGGGATATTTGACTATTTTTGAACTTGTTTGCATATTTTTGTTTGTTCCTCCCAAATCCGCCTGTGGAGGGACACGCCCGGCTTGAGGGTAGGAGGTCTATCAACCTCCGAGGGAAGGGCTCCTGCAGGATGGCGCACATTTTCCACTCGTGCCGACCCTCGCTAGGCCCAACCTGGGCCCAGGAGCGGGGGCCCGGACAATGCGTCCGTGGAAGCGGTTCCTGCGTCGAGGGTCGTCGGGTCGGCTGAACAACGGCGGCGGTCGAGGATAGGAGGACGAGAAGAAGGAGGAGGAGGAGGACGATGAGGAGGAGGAGGAGGAGGAGGAGGAGGAGGAGGAGGAGGAGGAGGAGGAGGAGGAGAGGAGGGAGGCAGAGGGAGGAGGAGGGAGGAGAAGGGACGAGGGAGGAAGATCGAGTTGCTGGGGCTCCTGCTGGATGACGAGCAGGAGGAGGGGCAGGAGCAGGAGGAGGAGGAGGAGGAGGAGGAGGAGAAGGAGGATGAGGAGGAGGAGGACGAGGAGGACGCGGAGGACGAGGAGACGCGGAGGACGAGGAGGGAGGAGGAGGAGGAGGAGGAGGAGGAGAGGAGGGAGGGGAGGAGGAGGGAGGAGGAGGAGGAGGAGGGAGGAGGAGGATGAGATGATGGTGATGCTGATGATGATGACGATGATGATGATGATGATGATGATGATGATGATGATGATGATGATGATGATGGTGATGCTGATGATGATGAGGAGGACGCGGAGGAAGAGGAGGCGGGACGAGGGAGGACGGAGGAGGAGGAGGAGGAGGAGGAGGAGGAGGAGGAGGAGGAGGAGGAGGAGGAGGAGGAGGAGGAGGAGAGAGGCAGAGAGAGGAGGAGGGAGGAGAAGGGATGAGGGAGGAAACTCGAGTCAGCTGGACAGGGTCAGCTGAGTTCACGCATCGAGGATCGAGCCGTTCAGGGGCGGTGCAGGCGGACAGTTGGTAGACGAAACAAGGATGCATCGATAATCTCGAGAAGCTCCGAGAATCTCTAGAAGCTCGATAAACTCCGCGAATCTCGAGAAATTCCGACGATAAGATCATGTGAAGATACATCGAGAATCTCTGAGACGCGGCGGCCCTGGATAATGTCTCGGGCGACGCGGCCTTCTCGGAGCATTCCGGAGCGCTCTGAGAGCTCCTCGTCCGAGCCCCCGTCCAGCCCCTCCCCCCTCGAACCTGGGACCGCCACCCCGCAAACCGCTGGAGACCTCGGAGAGAGCCTTCGGAAATCGTGCGCTGCCTCTGGGAGCCCTCGAGAATCCATCCTCGGGGCCAGGCGCCCCCGAGAGCGGCCCCAGCGGCCCTAGGACGCCGAACTTGGGAGGATCCATCCCCGCTCCTCCACCACTTCTTCCTCCTCCGCCTCCTCCGCCTCCTCCTCCTCCTCCTCCTCCCTCTCCTCCTGCTCCTGCTCCTGCTCCTCCTGCCATATTGCTCCTCCTGCTGCCTCCTCCTCCTCATCCTCCTTCCTACTCCTCCTGTGCCTCCTCGTCCTGCTCCTCCTCGCGTCGTGTTCTTTGTGCGCACTCCTCCTCCTCCTCCTCCTCCTCCTGCTCCTGCTCCTGCTCCTGCTCCTGCCTGCTCAGCCTCCTCCTCCTCCTCCTCGTCTTGCTCCTCCCGCCCTTCCTCCTCCCCCCCCAGCACAGGACCCAGTACGCCCCCCCCCCCCCCCCTCCCCCCCGGGAATGCTCGGGCACACTTGGGCGCGAACATACGCCCCTAACTCTCCTGCTCCTCCCCCTGCTTCATCTCCTCCTTCCCTCCTCCTGTTTGCTGTGGCCCCTCGTCCGCTCTTCCTCCTCCGAGCGGGGCTGCGGTGGCATCTGCTGGACCCCATGCGCGAGCCAAACACATCGGTCACGGCAGGTTCGTGCCGTGACGACCGCGGCGTTGGCTTCTGACGCGGCGTGGGTCGTTCCAGCCTGAACGATCGCGGAGATCGGCCGCTTCTGGACATCAGCGCCGTCGCCCCCCACGCGCGGGGGCCGCCGCCGCGTCGGTACGGCACGAACCTGCCGTCGGGGAGGTGCGCACGTTACTGGGCGAGAACAACCGCGAGGCGGCAGCAAGAGGGCACGACAAGACCGTTTTTGTTACCAATTCCGTCTTGCTGTTTTTGTTGCTGGCTCCGACGCCGTTATTTTCCGTTTCCGTCGCTGTTTTTTGCCGGTCCCGGCTCCGGCTCCAAGCCTGGAGCCGTTTTTTTGCTGTTTCCGATCGGTTGCCGTTTGGGGTCGACGTTTTGTTCCCCGTTTCCCACTTTCAAGAGGCACTTTTTTCGGAAGCCGTGAGGAAACGGCCCTGCCGCTTCCAGGGCCCAGGGCTTGCCCGCCCAAGCCGCCCCGTCTCATCTCCCATCCAGCTCCTCCGCCTCCGCCTCCCCCATCCGTCCCTCCCTTCCTCCCTCCCTCCTTCTCCCCCCCTTTCCGATCCGACCCTCTCCCCCTCCCCCTTTCCCCCCTTCCCCTTGGGGGGACAGGAAAGTACCGATACCGGTCGTCCCTGGACCTCTCCCAGAAGTGCGTTGCCCAAATTCCGAAGCACATCCAAAACATGGCGACGAAGGCCTGTCCAAGAGGCCTGGGAAAGCGAACGCGAGGCCCGAGCAACGACATGGGTAACCGTGGACTGCGATGTTCGCGCCCGTTTCACCTTCAGGCGAAACTATATTACGATCCGCCCCTGTAAATGATATTCGGCCCCCAGAACCGCCAGCGCGGGATTTCACAAAGATCACAAACAACAAAAAAACCCAACGAGACCCTGATCGGATGCTTGCAGGATTTCTGGCGAACTCCTCAGGACTCCTTGGGATTTCGAAATGATTCTTGAAAGATTCCTGCAGGATGCTTGGAGGATTCCTGCGTTCTCTTGGGGCCCCTGGATGATTCCTGAAGATTCCTGGCAAATTCTTAGAGGATTCCTGAAACATGCCTGCACAATTTCTGAACATTCCACCAGGTTTCCGGATGATTCCTGAAATATTCCTGGAAGATTGCAGAATGAGCCAACGAAGATTCATAACACATCTTGGAGGATCCAGGAAGATTCCTGCAAGATCCAGGCAAGATGTCCGCAATATCATGGAAGGCCGCTCAAGTCCGGTTCCCGCCAACATCAGCGTAATATCCCAACAAGTCGGGGAACGATGCGGAGCGGTGCGGGCGGCCGCGCGGTGCTGTGGGCCCCGTCGCTGTGGTATGACATGACATGTATCACGAGTGAGGGGCAACGATAGGGGGGGACTGACATATATGGGGGATGCATCGACCTGGAAACGGCGATACATCGCCGATAAATCGGCGATAGACCCCCGACAGTGAATCCGCACCTTCCGGTGCAGGTTGGGTCTATCGGACCCCTGTCGGCGATCAGTGGGCGATTGGGGTTCGATGCGTCCCCCCCGATGCCTATCCCCCCCTATCGTTGCCCCCGAATGAAACAATACCTCACTTGGACTCCAAAGAGAGCCCGGCGAGGGTTACAACATCCCCCAAATATTCCCCCAACCGGCGCCAGCTGGAACCGGAGAGGGGATCAATGGAGGATCCCAGACCCCAGGTGGACTCGACCATGGGGCTGCCCCATACAAGAAACCCAGTCAGTTCGCGAAGCGGGCAGCCCTCCGTCCTCGTCTTTCGGGCGGAAGTTTCGTCACAGCTCGCTGTGAATCTTCGAACTGCGAAATGTCTCGATCAATCAACCAGGTTTGCAAAGGGCGCGCCCTCCTCTCTCGTCCTGTTCTCTTTGCGTACTACCCCCTTATAACTGGTGCTCAAACCACCAACGCTCTACTGCCCAGAAGAGGCGGGGGGAACAGGCGTAATTATAACTGCCGGTGCTAGATTCGGGGATGGACAAACCCCCCCTTTAGCAAAACGTGGTTTAGTGAAAACGACCTGAGTCCCAACCTGGCGGCGCAAGCGTGGAAAATAATGGTCACAACGCCCTCCCGAAAACCGAAAACGGACAATTCACTAATCGACGTGTCACTGTTGGGGGCTCTGTCCACCCCCGATAGATAAAGCCGGCCGCGCAGGGAACGCGTCGTGATCCTGGGACTGGAGTTCCCTCGCGACCGCCGGGGTAGTCGTGCGAGGTCAAGAAAGATGAAGGAGGAATTCGTATTATTGGGCGCAGGGGTCGCAGATGGAAGTTGTATTGCTGCTGGGTCTCATATATAATGAGTTAGCGCGGTTAGTGTACGCGCGGTTGTTCAATTACACGAAGATTCGGAGGGTTTCGGACTCCGGAGGGTTTCTATAGATCCCAAGAGTGATTTCTGAGGTTTCCTGAAGGATGCCTGCAGGGCCCCCGAGGATTCCTGACGGATTTCAGCTGGCCCCTGAAATTCGTGAAGATTTCTTGGGGCACCTGACCATTCCAAAAGGACTCCTAGAAACATGATTCCTGCGGACTCCAGAACATACCGAATGTTTCGGGGA